GACAAGGGATGTCTTACATGGGGGCAGGCAAGAGAGAGCTTGTGTGGGGAAACTCCCCTTTATAAAACCATCAGATCTCATGATGCTTATTCACCATCATGAGAACAGCATGGAAAAGACCTGCCCTCATGATTCAGTTACCTCCCACAGGGTCCCTCCCACAACATATGGGAATTGTGGGAGCTACAATTCAAGATGACTTTTGGGCAGGGACACAGTCAAACCATATCATCCCTTGAGGAATGCAAGGGCAGGGAGCTGCATCCAATGGCTAACTAGCCTGGAGGCTGCACACATATAAAGACCTGGTCCCCTTGCTCTAACTTGAGGCAACTGAGAAGGGACATCCCAGCTCAGTGGTCTCAAGTTGGAATAGCTACCAGGTTGTCTGAGGCTTTTATTGGAATTTTATCACAGCTCAGTGCCTCCCTCCACCCAATCCTGTTTCCATTTTCTCCTTCCCAGGTGGTGACCTCAAGAGGATTCCTTAATTCATGTCTGTACAGTAACTTCTCAGAGTTTGGTTACCAGGTAACCCAACCTGGAACACCGCACCTCCCCCTCGCTGTCTCTCTCCCCAGCCTCCTCTTTCTTTTTGCTCTCCCTTGTTCCCTCCTATCCTCCCTTTTGTTCTCACCCTTTTTCTCTCTCCTTTCCTCTCTCTATTCTCTCTCTAGCTCTCCCTCAAACCGCAGAGTTTCTTACCTCTGCTTCTTTCTGAACTCACATGTCATTCTCTTCTCACTTTCTGACCAGTCTCCTCAGCTCTTCTGGCTCATGGACCGTCATGGCTGCCCCCAAATGGTGTCTTCAGTTCCCCAGTCACCATCACTGTGGTATATGCTTTTGGTATCTCACCCCAATGACCTTTACTGGGTTGATGTCGTCATCTTGCAGCTGCTGTGGGTATCAGTTAATAACAGCTCATATGTGTACCCTTCTCTGGAGGGCTGTCCTTCACCTACTGGAACCTTCTCTGCTGGAGATGCCCAGAAGGTTTTGGCCCACACTTCTTGGCCAATGACTGTCAGATGGGTGGGGGCATGCAAAAGTCCATCCTCCTTGTCTCAAGGCAGGACACACTCTGTGGACACACTCTGTGGCACCCTGGAGAGCCCCTAGGATCAGGGCAGGCTGCCTTTTCCTGTCTCTGCTTAGCATCTTCCCCTGCCCTAGCTGCTCCTCTCACTCCCTTCAGGTTTAGCCTGAGGCCACTCCCTCAATCAATCCCTCTGCCTCTAAGGAGCCTGATTTAGGATCATCTCCTTACAGATCCTGTGCCTGTGGCAAACTAGCTCAGCCTCTGCTGTCCTAATTCCAAATATCCAGGAGAGAGAACTCTCTTAAAGTTCTTTGTCTTTGAACTCTCATTCAAAGATCAGCCCTCCCTATGTGTAGCTTGGCTCAGGCTGAGCTCAGCCCAGCTTCTAGATTGAACACCTGGAGTTCGTTTCAGGTGAACATTGGGAATGCATTACAGGTGCAACCCTCTGTGGCTGCAGAGGGGTCGGAGTTAAATAGTATATGGTAGATGAAGGGTACAGGGGGAGGGGACAACTCTCAGAAAAGGCCAATCAATTCCTGCAAAGGTGAACCCTATCCATGTCCTCCTCCTCCGTCTTTCTTGAATTAATTTTCTTGGTCTTCTCTTTACTCCTCATCAATTTCCCCATCTACATCCCAAGTTCTAATCAGAGAGTGAATTTGTGAAAAGTAGCACCACATGATGGAGAAAGCACTGGGCTGAGTATCATTCCAGCACTGGATGCAAGATGGTCCTAATTCAGCCAGCTCGCTTCACCTACACCTCTGGGTCTCCAGCTTTAAGGTAAATTAGACAGTCAGTTGGCTAGCTTCAATAGTCAGTGCTTTTCTGAAGATAAGGACTGGCTGGGTGCTGTGGCTCATGCCTGTAATCCCAACACTTTGGGAGGCTAAAGTGGGAGGATTTCTTGAGGCCAGGAGTTTGAGACCAACCTGGAAACATAGCAAGATCCTGCCTCTACAAAAAAAAAAAAATTTTTTTTTTTAAAGATGGGGTTTCACCATGTTGGTCAGGCTGGTCTTAAACTCCCAACCCCAGGTGATCTGTCCGCCTTGGCCTCCAAAGTGCGTGGATTACAGGTGTGAGCCACCACAAAAACATTTTAAAAGTTAGCTGAGTATGGTAGTCGATGCCTGCAATCTCAGTTATGCAAGAGGACCACTTAGCGCAGGAGTTTAAGGCTGCAGTGAGCTATGATTGTACCATGACATTACAGCCTGAGCAACACAGCAGAACCCTAAAAATAAAAAATGAAAACAAATAGGGCAGAATCTGGGTCTCTTGATCTCTGCATTCCTGAACTCGGCACAATGCCTGGCACAAAGTAAGAACACTGACACTGTATTTTTTAAAAGGAGCTATTCTCAGCTGGGCATGATGGCTCACACGTGTAATCCCAGCACGTTGGGAGGCCAAGGCAGTGATCAGCTGAGGTCAGGGGTTCGAGACCAGCCTGACCAACATGGCGAAATCCCATCTCTGCTACACACACACACACACACACACACACACACAAAAACACACACACACACTAGCTGGGTGTGGCAGCAGACACCTGCAATCCCAGCTACTTGGGAGGCTGAGGCAGGAGAATTGCTTGAACCTAGGAGGTGGAGGTTGCAGTGAGCTGAGATGGCGTCACTTCACTCCGGCCTGGGTTGCAGAGCAAGACTCCATCTCAAAACTAAAAAAATAATTTTTTTAAAAAAAGGAGCTATTCTCTAAAAAAATGAAATGATGGTGAATTACATTAAGATAATAAGGTAGAGCATGACTCCAAAGTACACAATCTTCTGAGTGTGGTGCCTGTTAACAATAACTATCACTTGGTAAGTGCTCAGCTGTGCTGTTGTGTAACAAATCACCCCCATATGTAGCCATTTAAAACAATGTAAGCCATTTTATTATGTTCATAGAGTCCGTGGGTCAGGCATGTGGACAGGACACAGTGGGGATGGCTTGTCTCCACTCTGCAATGTCTGTGGCCTCTGCTGGGAAGATCTGAAGTCTGGTAGTGATTGACAGCTGGGGCTGGGATCACCCAGAGGCGTCTTCGCTCACAGAACTGGTGGCTGAGGATGGCCGTGGCTGGGTCTGTTGACCAAAGCACCTACAGGTGGTTTCTCCATGGGGCCTGGGCTTCATCACAGAACAGTAGCCTCCGGCTAACAGGACTTTTGAAGGTGGCTGCTCACGGCTCCAAAATAAAGTGTCCCAGTTTACAAGGTAAGAGAGAAGCTTCATTATTTTTATGATCTAGCCTCAGAAATCAACTATATTTTTCCCACCACATTCTATGACAAACAAGTCAAACTCATTCAAGTTTAAGAATTGGTGAACTAAATACTGCCTCTCAATGGGATGCGGGCAGGGCTTTCACAGAGCACACGGGATGGGAGATATTGTTGTGGCCATATTTGGGCACTAAAGTCTGTGGTGCATGTATTCTCTCATTTAATCCTTCCATCGTCTTTAGAAGTAGGTATTATTGCCCCTGTTTACAGGGAAAGAAACCAAGGCTCAGAGGGGCTAAGCAACTGGCGTGTGGACAAAACCAGTATATGGCAGAGCTGGAGTTCAACCTAGTCTGTACAGAGCAAGTCTTCTCCAACAGCATATGATGCTGCTTACAGGAAAAGGGAACTGAAAAAAAGAACACATTCAAAGCCCAGTTCAGGAGTGAGGTATTCTCTCCCATCATCCTGATGTCAGAATTAGTATCTTCCCCATATGGGTAAAGGAATCTGGTGCCTGTGCATAACTCCCCAGGGAGTCGCTTCCCAGAAACTATGTAAGTATGTGTGTGCCTTTGATGCCCCAAGTCTTCTAGATATGCACTGTATGCCAAGGGCTGCTGTCTGCCCTCCCCAACCTCACTTATATGGCAAAAGAGTCTGGGAAACGATGAGCAGGAGCAAGCTCTGCCCCCCTCCTTGAAGGCAGCACGCAGAACCAGCTCATGCCAGGAATATCTTCTTTGCCATGATCCCCCTTCGAAATTACATCTTCCCTTTAAGTGCAAACGGGAACCTAGACTTCCAGAAAGTCATCGTGATACTCCCAGGATACTTATAATCTGGACTGTTTAGAAGGTACTTGGCACTCGCTGCTTGCTCTGCAGGTTTTGTGTTCTAACCCCCCAGTTAGTCTTCTAAGGCCCCAGAGGGCAAGGTCCATGCCCTTTTCTGCCCGCATCCCCCACCCCTGCTGAGCAGTACCCCATTTTAATAGGGAGGCAATAATTAGGTCAAAAGGCCTCAGAAAGTTTATTATGATATTATAACAGGAGGACACGTGCTTCTTTAAAAGCATTTTTGGAGAGCCTACTATATCACAGGCATTGTGCTAATGACCCATGTGATCCAGAAGCAGAAATTTAGAAAATCAAATATGAGCCTTTTGGGCACTCTACAGCAGGTAAATAACAAATCAAAATTGGTATCTAGAAGCGAAGCATCCTTAATCAGATTAAGAGGCCTTCATGACAGGTGCATTTGAGGCAAACGCTATAAGGTTACAATCTCTATCAGCTGTCAGATGTTTAGAAAGACCCTGAATAGAGCTTTGAAATCCTAAATTCTTGATTTTACTTTCCCCTAGAAGTTGTCTGAGTGATGATTTTAGCTGGGGCTATCAGTCAGGAAAGGCTGGATCTTGCTGTCCTTAATTTCAAATCAGTCTTCCTGCAGTAGGCAAATTTCTCCACCTTTCTTTTAATTTGTCACCTTTTCACCTCGAATTGTTCCTAAAGGCCATGACCTTTGAAAATATCTTTGAATGTTCAAAATCAGCCACAGATAAACCTGGTCATAAATTATGGGTAATGAATATCAGATTACCCATAATTTTATCTTCACTCATTCTTCATACCGTAAATCCTTGACCAAATACAACTCTATTATATAAAACTATTTCGTCAACATACCATCAGCAAGAATAAAGCAACTCCTATAAATAATTACCTTTGGGATATGAAAGAAAATGTAAACATTTTATTTGGCAGTTGTTTCTGAACACATGAATAAATAAATGGAAAAGTACATATTAATATTTCTTTTTGGAGTAACAGATACCATTAAACGCTTATTTACACATCTTCACTGCAAAGAACAGTTACACAATTAAATTTTGTCTTATAAAAGGTAACTTCCCACATCACTGGACTGGACAGTTAAGGATGGAGATACTGGTAGTGCTTGGTTCTAGCAGTCTCAATGTTTGAAAGGCATTCATTTGCAAGTGTGATAAGAAGAGTCATCATGCATTGAGTTCATCCGGGTCATGTACTGTAGAAAGTTTCTGATGGCAGCCACAGAATTTGGTGTCTCATGCGCTTAAGTCAACTATGACATGTTTGTAAATCTGTGTATTTCCCTTAAAACTGGAAGCAAAAAGAAAATTACGCTTATTAATGGACACATGCGTGAATGATCTTGGTGCCTGAACATTTAATTCCTGAAATTTCACAAATGTGGCTTTCTCTGAATCCCAGTTAAACACTTGAGTAAAGGAGTAATCACTTCCAAGAATTGCATATTGGTAACTATTTATCTGAAGAGGCTGGAACACCATGGATCCTCGCGACGGTATCCTCTGAATGTCCTGGAATGAGGAGCCTCCCCATTTCATGACTTTGGAATCACCAATGAATCTTGTCAAGCAAATGTACACGTCCCCTTTCACTGAGAAGTGCTTCACTGCGTACACGTCCTCCATGTTAGGAATGTCAGTTTGGTTAGTGAATAATTGTGTTGCTTTGTTCCACTGATAAATTACAGGACGCTGGGAACTACTAGACAGAATTAAATGAGGCGTTCTGAGTGTCTGAGGTGTTCTGACTATTTCCAGATATTCCACATCCGTGTCCCTGTACCACGCATGTAAGGATTGATGGGAGTAGAATCCGTTTCCATTCCATTTGTAAATGGTAGTAAAACCAGCTTTTGAGCTGTCAGCCACAACAAAGTACCAGTTGTTTTCAATCTTGAATGTTTCAATGTCATTGGGTTTTCGGATTTTGAGAATTTCAATATCCTGGATTTTAATGAATTTATTTGCAAAACTGTCTCGCTTATAGATGTGAGAGCCACCAAACAGCTGGGCCACGATAACATAGAGCTGAGTTTCAATGACTATAGGCTTGCATACCACAGTGGATGTGCCTGGGAGAAGACAAAGGAGAGATTAGTTGTGTGGCCGTCTTCTTTCAGAGCACGTAAACATGCAGGCTGGCTGGGGCTATACAACTTCCACCCAAATCAGCCTGAAACAAGAGATCTCCTTGGTTGATTAGGCAAGGCTCATCTCCAAAGCCCAATGGCAGCCGTGTCCTGAAGTTCTGTGCCTTTGTGCCTTGTAGGACTTGTTACCAACAATTGAGTTGTTAACGTCACATCCAGCCTGCTCTACATGCTCAGGACACACAGGTGTGGCCTGAGTGTTCTCCTCTCATTTCTTGCAGGAAGAAAGCATTACTTTCCCTGACACATCATGAGTTAATGATACTTCTAATGAAAACAGTTTACTGAGCATCTACTATGTGCTTTCTCAATTCACCTCATTCATTTTCCCAACAATCTTAAGAGATAACTATTATCCTTCTTCCACATGAGTAAACTGAAGCTCAGAGAGGATGTTCTGCTAGCAGAAGGCAGAGTTGGGGATTCAACGCCAGGCCTACCGGTGTCTCTATCCTTTTACCCCAAGCTGGGGAGAAGTTAGCTATTATTCCAGGACTTCAAATTGGGGCTAAGATCTTAGATAACCAAAGGCTAGAGTTGTGGTCTGGGGAGCCTGTGGCTCTACCTGTAATTATTTTGCTCTAAGTCTGAACTGCTTCCTGCTCTAGAATAACTCGCCTTTCGCCTGTAAAGAAAGATGTCACTGGTCACTTTTCTGGAGCTTTAGGTCTTTGGTGGCAGGAGCGAAAGAGAAGGAAGAGAAATCTTTGCAAAAATAGAGGGGTGCAGCCGTGGGTGATGCTCCTGAAAGTTATTTTGGGAAATTATAGAAAATGATGTAGGATCTGTCTCTGGCCTAGCTTGGTATTCTTTGGTGGAGAGTTTGACATTTATCAGTAGATTCTGATCTCACAGAAGGAGTTGGCTCTAGAAAATCCAGAGACAGCTGGGCAAATCTGGGCTTTAGGCTTCTCCTGATCACAGCTCTAGCATGGGGCGGCAAGTTCTACATTAACTATTTCTATTAATTGGCTTCATCCATAGGCAAAATTATTTTACTTGTGACTCTTTTTCAGGGAAACTGATTTATGATCTTAAGAAAATCACTTAACTTCTCTGAGGTTCAGTTTTCTTTTCTGTACAATGAGACATTAGATTAAGGATGGCTACCAGATTCCAACACGTGTACCAATATTGATTGACTCATTGAGTGTGATTGCCTGGAGAACCATGTTGAGAAGTATTCTGTGGCCGTGTCTGTATTCTGCATGAAAAATTACCATGATAGATTAGTGATGCCTGTCTAGGGTGAAAGAAGGGATAATGACTGAGTATGGGACACATATTTGTCATCTGCTATGGTTGGAATGTTTGTGTTCCTCCAAAATTTATGTTGAAGCTTAATCCCCAATGTAATAGTATTAAGAAGTGGGGTGTCTAGGAGGTGATTAGATTGTGAGGATTCCACATTCAAGAATGGAATTAGTACCCCTACACAAGGGCTTGAGGGAGTCTGTGATCTTTTTTTGCCTTCTGCCATGTTAGGACGCAGAGAAGATACCGTCTTTGAAGCAGAGAGTGAGCCCTCGCCAGAGCCTCCAGAACTATGAGAAATACATTTCTATTGTTACAAATTATTCAGTCAAGATATTTTTGTTACAGCAGCAGGAAGGGACTAAGACATCATCCTAGACAAGCTGAGCTCTGAGGTGTCCTCTGAAACTTTGCAGATGTATGATTTATTTCTCTTGTAAGTGCTCATCTAAACAGTCATTCAAAGAAACTGATGAACCATACACAAGTAAGAAGAGCCTGGTTTCAATTGCATAAAACCCTGCCATTGTCCACTGGAAAACTTATGGGGGCTTAGGGACAAGTAGAAGCATGACCTTCTTCCTTCAGAAAAAAAAGGATTCTAAAAGGGTTTCAGTTTGGAAGGGATCCATTTATTTAAGCAACCCCAGCCTTAAGCAAGCCTCACAATTGTCTTAGTCCTTTGAGCAGTGAGGCTGATAGCCACCAGCAAAATCTATTATGACTCTCCATGCCTTGTCTACAGTGTTACCTTTTATGGGGAGATATGAGTGCTCTTGAGAGCAGATTTAAAGGTATTAGAAACTAAAGCTGATATAAAAATTGTAGAGGGGTCCCTATGTTCTAATTTATGACTTAGAATTTTAAAAATTATTAAAATGGGAAAGAAACTTAAGAGATCAGCTAAGTAAGGCCAGGCAAGGTAGTTCACGCCTGTAATCCCAGCACTTTGGGAGGCCAAGGTGGGTGGATCACTTGAGGCCAGGAGTTCAAAACCAGCCTGGCCAACATGGTGAAATCCTGTCTCTATTAAAAATACAAAAATTAGTGGGATGTGGTGGCACACGCCTGTAGTCCTAGCTACTCAGGAGGGTGAAGTACAAGAATCACTTGAACCCAGATCATGCCATTACATTCCAGCCTGGGTAACTGAACAAAACTCTGTTTCAAAGAAAAAGAAAAAGAAAAAGAAAAAAAGAGATCAGCTAAGTATAAGTTTCCATAGAAAGAATTAGATTCCAGTGGGGTACGGTGGCTCACACCTATAATCCCAGCACTTTGGGAGGCCGAGGTGGGTGGATCACAAGGTCAGGAGTTCGAGACCAGCCTGGCCAACATAGTAAAACCCCGTCTCTACTAAAAAGACAAAAATTAGCTGAGCGTGATGGCAGGTGCCTGTAGTCACAGGTGCTTGGGAGGCTGAGGCAGGAGAATCGCTTGAACCCGGGAGGTGGAGGTTGCAGTGAGCCGAGACTGTGCCACTGCACTCCAGCCTGGGGGACAGAGCGAGACTCCATCTCAAAAAAAAAAAAAAAATTAGATTCTACGGCCAAGTTAAGAGTGAAAAATACTGGAAAATTTTCCTCACTGCAGGACTTTTCAGAGCCACAGATGTATGTATTATGAATCTCCAAGAGGGAGATATGGTTCACAAATTTATTAGACCACAAAATCCTTTTGATTGTAAGGCATACATTAACATTTTGTAGAAGAAATGTTTGTGTAAAAGTTTGAGACTTGTTGACCTAAAATAACTTTCTTATTTTATAGTTAAGAAAAAGGGCAGGGGGTGTCAGTGAATATGATCAGTTTGTCTAAATAGGCTGTGGCAGAACCTGGACTAGAACTCATGATTCATAATCCAATACTTTCCTTTAAAGAAACATAATCAAATTTTTACTGTATGTGTATTATGCTAGGCCCTATGCTAAGTTTCATGAATATATGTTCACATTATCTTATTAACAACTCTGTGAATTAAGTGTTAATATTATTCCCATTTTACAAGTGAGGAAATTATAGCTTAGAGAACTATCCCAGGTCACTGAGCAAATGGTAGAGCTGGAATTCAAATGACTTGAGGCCTGCTAAAGCATTCCCCCCATATACCACTCATCTTTCCTTGTTGCCTTTGGCTAAAGCAGTTTAACTTCCCACTCAAAATATTATTAGGCTTTTCATACCTGTAATGTTATCATAATTCCGGAAGGTCTTTTCCACATGGTCCCATTCAAGGAAGATGCATTTTCCAGTAAAAGGCTGAGCGATGACTACATACTCATCATTCAAATAAGAGAAAGTATCTATGGACAATGATTGATAAGGCAGGTCTTGAGATTTTGCAAATTCTGCAAAAATAGGAAATGATAAATAACTGTGAGCTAATACCTCTTTCCTTGGCTAGATCGCAAATATTCATAAGAAATACAATTATTTCAGAGAACGGTAAAATGGCCATTTTGCTTTTCTTTTAAACACATGCAGTGTTGTCAATGGTTCATAATTTTTTAAAAATTAAATTGCTCAGCTAGTTTTTAAGATATAAAAAATATCAGTTCCTGCACATGAGAAAAAAACATAGCCCTTATTTTAATTTTATGAGGTAGAATGATGATGAGTACATTACCTGTAATGATGCAATCGAAATCCTTGGAGGAGAGACTATTTATTTTGCGCTTCTTGTATTCTGGGGGGCCTTCACAGTAGATGTCTTCAACAGTTGCATTGGTGTGGCCAAGCCATTCCACCAGCCATTTCAGTTTACAGTCACAATTAAATGAATTGCCCCTCAGGTCCCTGAAAGACAAACTTCAGCTGCTTTTGCTGTACAAGAGCCATACCCACACAGGTAAGAGTTATAAATCAACAGTTAACATGTGCAGAACGACCTTACCTGGCTTTACATCCTGCCCTATAACCTGCCTGGAACCTGACTGACTGCTCACTTTGGGCTCAGAGAGTTAGCACCATGCACATCTGGAGACTACCCAGTCAATGGACCCTTATAACTTACTCCCTCTTGGATTCCAAATGACTTAGTCTAGGGCTGTGCTGTCAACAGAAACAGTATGTGAACCATTATTGTAATTTAAAATTTTCTATAGACACATTAAAAAAGTAAAAAGAAACATGTCTAATCCATTTTAATATGTTTTATTTAATCCAATACAGATAAAAAATTATCATTTTGACATATCATCAATATAAACATTATTGAGATATTTTACAATCCTTTTTCTATACTAAGTCTTTGAAGTCCAGTGTGTTTTTATACTTACAATATATCTCAATTAAGATGCTAAATTTTATCAGAAATGGGTGATCTATATTTACGTCATAAAATTTATAATAGAAAAAAATAGATGTATATACCCAAATTGTTCCAAACATACTTAAAAGTTTCCAATAATTGAGCTGAGAATCAGCTTTTAAATTTAAATTTAACTTTTAAAAAAGTAAGTAAAATGTCAAATTCAGTCTCATTTGCACTAGAAGCACATTTTAGGTGCTCAGTGACCGTAAGTGTCTGGTTGCTACCATATTGGACAGCACAGGTCTGAAGGACGAAATGTAATGATTACTGTAATGTACTTAATTAAATCAAGTGAGCTATTTGCTTTTCTTCTTCCTCACAGACATAATTAATCCTGATCTTCTTCCATGGTCTACAAATTCATTTTAAATAGGAAATGACTTTGACGCAATAGAGTTAACACAGACATGCAATAGCTCATGCCTGTAATAAGGTATACAGCATAGACCATTTAAATTTCCACATATGACCCCAACTCACCAAGTTTTCTGTGTATTTGCATTGCTTCTGTTCAGGAATTCCACCTCCTCTCCTGGTCACACAGAATTCTTAAGATAGGTGCTGCCTACTCTTCACACAGCACATAAATAATTTTTAAACGCCCAAACACTTAAAAATGTTTTTTAGAGGATACTTTCAAGAAAGCCAAGAAATCCACTAAAAGGCAAGTTGGCATGGATCCTTGTACTTCTAAGATAATTCTTGATTTGGGCATATTAGAGTAGGTCCAAAAGGGTAAACCCATCATGGGATTCCCTGGAGAGACTGAGCCAATTTCAATATTGTTTTGATATATATTTTTTTACTAGTGTAGGGTGTAGACTGACACAAAAATGGGGTAAAGGACCCCCAGTGAGCTACATCCCACATCACCCATGGAGTGTGTTCTAACTTCCAAGACACTCCCAGAACTGACCTCATCTCCCAGGAGAACTCTGACCCACAGTAATGAGTGGCAACCTTTCAGGCTACTGTAAACCAGAGAGGATAACTATGGTCTGTGCAGGACTCTCTTGGAAGAATCCTGATTTGGGCATTCTCCTGGAATTAAACCATCATTCAGGAATTGAGATAATAGGCATGGAGGAGGGGCTGGGGAAATACTGCAAGGAACAAAGAGAGTTTTTCATTAGGTTACTGATTTGAAGTTAAATACTGGGCTTGGAAGAAAGTGCTTGACTCAGATTTTCTTTTTGTTTGTTACTGGAGAAAAGTTGTTTTGAATATAGATTCTACGGCAAAGTACCTGAATAATTTTTTTAAAAAGCTTTTGTTTTCATATATCCTTTTATTTGGTCCTGTATTTTACCTTATGACATTTAAATACCTTTCTAATGTTCTGCAAGGCAAATAGTGAAGCTGAATTGCTCTTGAGAGGTTTAGGCATATATTACTTGCTTTGCTTACAGCAAAATATACAAATTCCTTGCAAAGATCTTTTCACTCGGAGGCTTAAAAGTCAAAGTTTGAAAGCTCTTTTGTTTGAAAAAGGGTCAAAAATAATTAAGTTCATTCCCTTCCTGGGGCTTAAGCCAAATTCCTGGGGATTAAGCTTAGAGTTGTTCAGCCTGATGGGAGAAAGGCAAATTTGCCTCCCTTCCCCCACTTCCTGCTCCGTTTCTCTGTTGACTGACCAACCCAAGGGTGTAACCTTTCATCTTTATTCTGTTAGTTTCCCAGACTCCTGTATGTTTTTCCTTTGTAGCCCTACTTCCTGGACCTCATGATAAAAAAGGGATCTTGGGATTTCTAGCCGGGTCTCTTCCCACCCCATCAAAGTCCCTTATCATCGCTGCCTGCCATATAGACACACACTTTGTCAAAGGAACGCCTGGGTGCCATGTATTCAGAATTTCCAATGATAAATACCATAGAAGACTCAACTGTTAGTCCATGTAAATTTCAATTTTTGGCCAGTTAAAATTTAGATTTAGAAATCCCAATTTTAATTTAAAAGCCAATTAAAAATTCTAATCATCAATACCAGGCTTCCTTGTTAATGACTGCAAATTAATTAATTGTTCAGTGATTTCTTAGGTCCTCTTACACATTTGTTAAAGAATCCAGGCCTTTGAAAATATCTTTTGGGAGTGTCTGGAGATTGTTGTTTGCAAGGCTCCTGGAAAAAAAAAAAAGGTGATATAAACTGTAGTGATAAATTAAATAAAGGCATTTAATGATAAAGCTTAGTTATTAGTCTCTTTTGTCATTTTCAGCCTACTAAATGACTTGTGGTCCTTTTTTTCTTTTGAAATACTACTCAGATTCCTGCTGTTGTCCTTTCAGTTCCTAAGCTGTTCACTTCAATATCCACTCAGTATTTATTTATTTATATGTTTATTTTTATTTTGAGACAGAGCCTTGCTCTGTCACTCAGGCTGGAGTGAAGTGGTGTGACCGCGGCTCATTGCAACCTCTGCCTCCCGGGTTCAAGCGATTTTCCTGCCTCAGCCTACATAGCTGGGATTGCAGGCACCTGCCACCATACCTGGCTAGCTTTTGTATTTTAAGTAGAGACAGAGTTTCACCATGTTGGCCAGGCTGGTCTCAAACTGCTGAGCTTCAGTGATCCACCTGCCTCGGCCTCCCAAAATGCTGGGATTACAGGCCCATTCAATATTTAAACAACACTTGATGTTGGTTAAAAACAACAATTCCTGGGCATTGATCTTTTCATTTAGAACAGAACACAGGAGATTCATATTCCCAGATATTCAGTCTAGGGGACATCTCCCAAATGATGACTAACTGAACCGGTGACAGTGGCCTTCTCGAAATGCCCCCTCTCCTCCAGCCTGGAGGAGCTGCTGCTCCTCGCCGCTTCCTCCTCCCTTGCTCTGGAGAGCAGCCAAACCTCCAACCCACAGTGCCAATAGCTCTATCCCTTCCCCAGTACATCCTTTCTCCTTTCCAAAGCCCACACCGCCTTTTCCTTTCTAACCCCATTCACTCCACCTCAGAAAAAAGTTTTCTCATAAATACCTATTCATCTATTCTCTTTAATCTCACGTCCCTTTTTCTCCTTCTTCTCGTTCTTTTCCTATGATCACAGGAATGATTTTCCCTTTCCCTTTCTATTTGTTCTTCCATAAATCACTAGAATGATTCTAATCAATGTTAATGAGTAGAAAATAGTCCTGATAATGTCAAGGAAAGGGAAATGTGTCCCTAGTACAGACATAGCACAGAGCTAATACTGTATGACCAGGGAAGGGTACTAGGTACTGTAATTTACTATTTTTAACCAGCACCACATATATACACATGTTATAAACTTTTCTTAGAGGTGGTTGTTTTTCCACAATAAAAATAAAAAACTAAACTAAAACCACAGAGCCCATCCTATTGGCCTCTAAACCCTTGAAAATTATCTTGACTTCGCTTTAAAACATTCTCAAAAGTCTTCTGTGTCTTCCTCCTCCACCAATTCAATATAAGATTTCTCAAGTACAAACATTCAAGACTTTTAGAACTTATTTTTAAGTGAGTTATGTCGTTGTTCTGGGATTTAGAAATTACTAGTAGATTGGAAAATGGTTCTCAATGAACCTCGGAATGTAAGAATAGGAACTGAATGAGAAAGTTCCATTCTCAATGGCGATCCACTGGTGACAAAGAACTTTTGGAGTGATTCTGAACTAGGTTTAAATCCTGACTCCAGCATTTACTGGCTGTGTGACTTTGGTGATGGATATTATTGGAAATTCAGTTGTTTTGTTTTTAAGTGAAGGTAATAATACCTTATCTCATAAGATTATTGGAAAAATAAAATGAGATAATCAAGGATGGTGCAGGCATCTGGACTACTCTCAGTAGAGTAGCTGGGGTCGGAAGAAGAGAAGGGCTTCTGTACATACATTGTCCAAGAAACAACGTTTAGAAACAGACCACACAAATGCACTGCTATGGCTGTCCACATACAGTAAAATTAATAAAATGCCGCTAAGGAAGACTATTCATGAAAATATCTCCATAATTCATCTTACTGACTGGTGTTTGAATGAAGAGATTTCCTGATGCCCTGGACCAGTCCAGAGTCACTCCCATGTTATGTGTCTCAGTTTATTTTCTAGCACAATGTGGCTTAAAGTTCTCATACTAACTTCTAAGTGGATGTCCCTTCCTCTGAAGCTGGCAAAAATGCAATTGGCTGCAGGGCATACATTTAGAGGAGGCTGAGTCGCAGGACAGTGGAGACAGTGGGCGTGCAATGATTAAGCAGTCATATCCTGAATTACTACTGCCAATAGGGCTACACAGGAAAAGGCACCATGCTTGTCTTACTGTCCAAGGAAATTCTTTTTATTTTGGGACAGGATCTCACTTTGTTGCCCAGGCTGAAATACAGTGGTGTGATCACAGCTCACTGCAGCCTCAACCTCCCTGGCTCAAGGGATCCTCCGGGCTCAGCCTCTCCAGTAGCTGGGACCACAGGTGTGTGCTACCATACCCAACCAATTTTTTTTTTTAATTTGTAGAGACAGGGTCTTGCTATGTTGTCCAGGCTGGTCTTGAACTCTTGGGCTCAAGCGATCCTCATGCTTCTGCCTCCCAACATGCTGGGATGACAGGTGTGAGCCACTGTACCCTGCAGGATTCTTTTAAGCGATGGATGAATCTGGAAGTTCTACATCTTGCCCAAATGAGTAGAGCTGTAGGCTTCACATGATCCATGTACAAGCTAACCGCAGAACACATGGCCAAAGCGAGATGCAGGCTGGGAGCTATGAGGCATCCAGAATGGAGAGGTGCTATTTTTACATGACGAGATAAAGGACTTCTAAGTCATCAGAACTGGGAGATGGGGCTGAGAAAGACAAGCTGGCCCAATGGGCTGTGGAATGAGGCATTACATTTCCTGAGAACTTGTGACAGAGGCTCTTTCCTTGGGAACCAGAGGGTTGGGGAGGCAGAGGAGCCAGAGGGAGAAATGGTGGGTGGATCCACTGAACCCAGTGTCATTCTTTGCTGCTCTGCTACCAAAAATTCAGTGAAATCCTTGCCCACAATGGACTGCTTTTAGAGGAGAGAGGATGGAGCTTCATGTCTAGGTTTGGTGAATGATGGGCATGAGAAGGCTGCCAGGATGCACTAGGAGAAGCAGAATCAAGAGGAAGTAAGATTCAGAAATGAAAGTGAGGCTTCCAGACACTCAAGGCTGGGGAGCTGGAGTTCAAACACCTTCCCTAAGTCTCTGGGAGGCCCCAGTGACATCAGGTTACATTTGGATAAAAAGAAAGCAGGCAGAGGGACCTAGGCAGAGAATGACTTGGGAAAGCAATGCTGACAGAGCCTCAGAATTATTCTGCAAAAAATAACAGCTTGGCCGGGCGCAGTGGTTCACACCTGTAATCCCAGCACTTTGAGAGACGGAGGCAGGTGGATCTCCTGAGGTCAGGAGTTTGAGACCAGCCTGGGCAACATGGCAAAATCCTGTCTCTGCAAAAAATATAAAATGTAGCTGGGTGTAGTGGTGTGTACCTGTGCTCCCAGTTACTCTGGGAGGCTGAGGTGGGAGGATGGCTTCAACCCAGAACTTGAGGCTGCAGTGAGCCATGATCGCACCACTGCACTTCAGCCTGGGCGACAGAGTGAGACCCTGTTTCAAAAAAGTAAAAAAGAGACATAAGGGATTGTGTAAATAAATGATGGTCCGCACGTAACATGGAATATTGTACAGGAGATTTTTTAAATGAGGTAGGTCTCTATGATTTAATATGAAGTGATACCTAAGTGTAGAGTGAGTATCATCTTTTTAGAGCAGGAAAAACAGATGTCTATAGATACACAAAGAAAACGCTATCAGGAGATACAAAATCTGTTGACTGAGGTTGTAGCTTGGTATCGGGTTATGGAATCTTTCACTTTTCTATGTAAATACATATTTATGTTGTGAGTTTTTATCATCAAGCATGTATTATTACTTTATAATCAGAAATAATAAAGTTGACTTTTTGAAAGGATCCTGTTGCTTAGAATTCGTACATCTATATGGTTCTGTCCTGTGAGGGTTCAGTCATTTGAAATCAATCCTTTGGCTGCATTCATCAAGTTCCAAAACTACCTACGAGCTTAGAGTAGGAATTACTGTCACGGCCCAAACTCGGGGGGCCTGAGTAGTTAGGTCATGCAAATGTCTTTCACAAGACCTCCTGCAGGAGGGAGCTGCCTGTTTCCTAAAAAATTCCCATGCAGTTTCAGGCCCTTACCCTCTAGGGAGCTTTGGGGCTACAAGTAAGCCCAGGCTTGAAGCCACCACTGTGGTTCTTTGTGCCAGCTTAAAGCCAGCTGTGTTGAAGGCCTGCTGCCTCCACAAATCATCATAGGCATCTGAGGGCTTAAGGGAGATTCACTGCAGGGGAGAGCTGCTGAGGGCACTGGGGCCACGGGCACTAGGAAGAAAATGGTGCATCATGCGACGCTCCCTGAAGCCTCCTCAGCATTTAGTCATGAAAAAAGGGTAAATAGGGCTGGGCATGATGGCTTATGTGCATCACCTGAGGTCAGGAGTTCAAGACTAGCCTGGCCAACAGAGTGAAACCCAGTCTCTACTAAAAATACAAAAAATTAGCCAGGCATGGTGGTGGGCGCCTTAATCCCAGCTACTCAGGAGGCTGAGATAGAAGAATCGCTTGAACCCGGGAGGCAGTGATTGCAGTGAGCTGAGATTGCACCATTGCAGTTCAGCCTGGGCAACAAGAATGAAATTTTGTCACACACGCACACACAAAAGGTAAATCGAATGATGAGATCTGGTGTCTATCAGCGAATTTAAACAGCTGGAGAGACTGAGACAGCACTTTGTGGGTTAGGGGTTAGGGTTATTTGGGGGTTGATATTAGGATTATTTGATTCTTCAGATTCCACCCCTGCATTCAGTTTTGCTACCAAAAAGCAAAATCCCTGGATAAAATTTTCACAGTTCTGCCTTCCCTCCATCCCACCCCCAGCTTCACAGAGTCATGACTTAATATTATTATGAATTTTTCTTCAACAGAAGCTCTGGTTATAATATACACTATGTATTTGTAAAACTGGTTGTAGCTGTTCTTTCCTGTATCGCTTGGGGTAGTGTAGGGTGTAAGTGCCAACTTCATCCAAGGACGGCAGGGATTAAAT